GGAGCATACAGGGACTGCCGGGCTGGGTGGGTGGGGTGCCCTGTGCTGGTCCTCATGTCGCTGGTACCCCCTACAGAGGCACCAGGAGGACCCTGGTATCACCCCCCATGTCAGGGTGCTGGACCCCCACATGCACGCTGGCACCACAGCATCCAGGACTGCCAACACCATGTGCCACCATGTCCCCAAATCCCCCCAGCCCTGCTGCCCCCAGCACCGGGACCCCACGTGGGAATGCATCTGTCCCACAGCCCCCTCCCTCCGAACTTCAAATCCCTTCCCCAGCCTTTCCCAGCTGAGCTCCCTTCCCCCTATTTGCCAAAGAGAAAAGCTGCTGGTTTCATTTCTTTTTAATGTAATTTCAGCTGGAGTTGCCATGGATACCAGGAGCGGAGTGGGGGGGCTGAATTGCCTCCAGGCAGCGTGCAGACACTGGAGCCAGGGCCGAGGCCCCGAGCCAGGGGAGCCGGGGCAGGCAGGGGCACAGGCTGTGAGGAAGCTGAGTGTGGGGCTCTGCCCTTCTCCCCACGGGGGACATTCGCAGCTTCAGTACCACAGGAACATGTCACCGTGTTCAGCACCGTGCTCCAGACCCTGTGCTGGACAAAGCCCTGGTGCTGCCCATTGTGGCATCCCACAGGGTGCCCAGTGCCCTCTTGAGGGGAAGATGCCTTTCTGCCCCAGATTAGGGGATTGCCCTGCCCTTCTGTCCCCTCTCCTCATCCTTCCACAGCCGCAGCTGCATGCTGCCACATGTGCCAGCGAGGCCAACCCAAGCTAGGACCCCGAGGCAAGCTGGTGACAGACAACCCAGTGCTATTGTGCTACTGCCTTTGCAAACTCCTGAGGCTGCCATCTGTCCAGGGTGTCCTTGACCACCAACAGTTTTCCTTTGGAGACCTGGCAAAGCTCAAGGGACACTGTATCCCAGAGGGTATGAACAGTTTACATCTGCGTGACAACTGTGGCACATCCTCTGCTTCAGGGGACATGTTTAGGGCTGTTGGCAAGGAGAACCATAAGGGAACTCAACTGCAAAGGTGTCCCTGGCATGGGAGGGAGGGAGGGAGTGACCTGTGGCTGGCCTCTGGCTGATCCTGAGGATCCACAGCCAGCAGGAGGGCAGGGATGCTGCTCTTCTGTCACGGTCTGATGCTGGCACAATGACAGTGCCCCCATGAAAATATATGCTCTGTGGTGTCTGCTGTGAGATGTGACCAGGAATAGAGCAAAGCAGGGTCCGACTTAGGAATAAAGAAGAAAAAACTTTATTAACCTACAACTATATATAAACACAGAACTCGGAATGAAAACCTTCCAAAAAACATTGCTCCTCCCCCCATCAAATTTCCAATACATCCACCCCTCAGATCACCAATTCTCAGTCCATCACCACCCTTTAGATAATCAATTCTCAGTTCATCAAGGAGGGAGGAGTCCCTCTTGTACCATAGACTTTTCCCTGGAAACACAGTTGAAACCTCAGTTGACCACAGCATCCCAAAAACTCACTTTTTCTTAAACCAGGACATCTTCACAGTAGCATCACTGGGACAGTGCCCTGGTGCTGTTCCCCACATCTCTGATGCACCCAGGACACAGGAGAGCAGACTCACAGGCAGGCAGAACAAGCTGTTGAGTCTTAGGCCGCAACCCCCTCTGCCCTGTGCTGCAGCAGCACAAAGGATTTCTGTGCTCACCCACTGCCAGTGACCTTCCTGGCAGTTGACGCAGAGCAGAGGGTTTTGTGTCTCTGAGAACAGCAGCCTGGATCCAGGGATGCCTGTCCGGCTGCCAGTCCTGGCCTGGAACCCAGCAGCCCCTGCACTGCAGCGGCCATCCAGTGACGAGGCTGAGCCCTCCACAGGGCCAGCCCCGCCTGGAGCACAATGGCCGGGGAGAGGGGACACTGGAAGGCTCCTCTGCAGTCCTCCTGGAAGTGGAGATGTTTCAGTGATGGCTCAATCCCGATTTCGTCCATCGTACCCATACAGACTGCTGGGCTGCAAGTTCTCTGACCCTAGGAGAATGCCAGCAGCTGCGTCACCCCAGTCCCACCATCCTCATGCTGACTCAGTCCTGCCCATCTCATCAGCTTATCTGCGTTAGACGTGCCCACGTCTTTGAGCTCTTCCGCTGCAACTTCAGACACCAATTACCTCCACAATTAGGGTCATTAACAAGGAGCGCATTTCTGGCAGCGTGGCCGCGGGCGGGGCACTTTTCTGGGTACGGGAGGCAGCGCCGGCCGCTGTTCAGCACAGCCTGTCCTTCACCGATGGCTCCTGCACTTCAGCCTGGGGCGAGCAGCGAGGGGGCTGCCCGCGCTCCGGGACCTCTGCCCCTCCCAGCCACCTCCCTGCAAGGACAGCGGGCGGGCACCGGGCTGGGCAGCAACGCCCCGGGTTCCTCCTCCTCTTTCCGGTTGTTTTTTTTCTCATTTTTACTACATTTCAGAGGGATTCCCACGCTGAGCCCCGCCGGTGCTGCCGCGGGCAGGTGCGGCCCCGCCGCCCCCGGCCCGGCCCCGCAGCGCCACCTGGCGACACCCCCGCCGCACGGCCCGAGCCCCCGGCGACCCCTCAACCGAATCCCAGTAATCCCCAGCCACGCCTTGCCTGGCTCTCAGTGTCCCCCAGCCACCCCTATCCTGGCTCCCAATAATCCCCAGTCACCCCTATCCTGGCTCCCAGTGCCCCCCAGCCACCCCTATCCTGGCTCCCAGTGCTCCCCATTCACCCCTCGCCTGGCTCCCAGGTCCCTCCAGAAAGACCCCTACCCTGGCTCCCAGGGACCCCTCTTCCCATGCCAGCCTCCCATTGCGCTTAGTCCCGTTTAGCTCAGCCCAGCCCAGCTCTCAGCAGTCTGCCCTCCTCTTGATGGCCCCCAGTGGCCCCCCCAGCCCGATCTCTCCAGCCGGGCCCCATTACCCCCTTGCTGCCCCACTTTGCCCTCCGCTGACACCCAGAACCCGTCCAGGGTGCGGGACTGGGCGGTGCCGCGGCTATCGCTCCTCGCCGGCGCTGCTGACTCAGGTGTGGAGATTATCAGAGACCGAGACTGTGGCCTCGATGGCCCCAGCCAGCCTTGCACCGCCGGCCACCGCCGGTATCTCACTGCCCACCGACCCCCGTCCAGCTGCGGGGCACCCCGAGCGGCCCCAGCCGCTGCACAGTGCCACCCTGCCGTCCCCATGCGGAGACACCGGCACCACTGTCACCCTCCTGCAAGGGACGGCGTGTGCGGGCTCCTGCAGCCCGGCCAGGGGCCCAGGACGAGCGGCAGGGCCGCCGTGTCCCACACGGGGTGCTGGGCGGCGGGACCTTGAAGCGGGCCAGCCGAGTTAATCGTTGACCGGCTGTTTGTCTTTTCCCAGCTGGACTTTTACACATTAAATCGGGATATTGGTGGCTCCCCAGGGGCCAGCCGGCAGCCTGAAGCACCAGATCAAGGTGCTCCAGGAGCTGGGGGTACCTAGAGCCATCCCCCGGGTGGAGAGCAGGGCTCCGCCACGGTGTGTGTGCCTGGCTTGCAAGGAATGCAGCGGGGAGGATGCTCACAGCAGGGGAGTGGGGCCGCGGGGACCAGAAATGGCTCCGGGGACCATCCTGGGGGTTGGCCCTGCCCCGGTGCTGCAGTAGCCCGCGGGCTGGTCCTGGGGGATGCTCAGCCGCGCTGGTGGGTGCGGGTGGGTGTGAGCAGGGCTGGACACACCTGCGGTGTTTACTTGGCGAGTCGTGGAAGGAGCAAGGCTGTTTGGGAGGGGGCGGGGGACGTGCCTGCAGGGCAGTATAAAGTCCAGGGGGGTGGCGCGGTGCCGACTGATTGCTGCAATCCCGACGAGCATTGATTGATTGTCCTGCTGTGGAGGTGAGAAGCTGGCGGGCACAGCACCGCTCCGGGAGTGGCCGCGTGTCCCCCAGCTGGGGAGCACCAGGGGGGCTACAATGGGGGCCACAGGCAGGGCTCGGCCCTGGGAGGGGAGAGGAGAGCCGGCAGTGCTGGCCCTCATGGCGGGAGTGGGCAGAGGGGCACTGAGGCCACAAGCGGCATCCTCACAGCTTTGCTGGACGGTCTTTGGCCGCCGCCGCTTGCACAGCTCCGGCTGCTCGCACCTTGGGCTAAGGGGAGGAGGTGGCATTTGGGATGGCACTGACTGCCCTGCCAGCCTGCAGGCACCCAGCTGGGAGGGTTTACTGGGTACGCTGCTCCCCACCTGAGGCTGGGGACAAAACCCGAGGGACACGGTGCCATCCCTGCAGGGATGGGGCACAGTGTGGCGGTGTGGCTGGAACACCAGCCTGGGGGGCACGGGGGCTGTGCGAGCACAGGGATTGCTGTCCCAACCGCATGTCCGAGCTGTAGGACGCCGTCGGTGAGTCCCTCTCGGGGGAGGAGCGCAGCCCCAGCGCAAAGCAGCGTCACTCGGCCGCCTTTCTCCCACGGCACACGCGGGGCAGCTCGGGTGCCCTCACAGACGCTGCTGCTGCTGGCACCAGAGCCTTGAGGGGATGGCAGGGCTCACAGCCAGTGCCACCCAGCCCCGCGGCAGCTCAGTGCAGACCCCTGCTCCAGCGCCCCGCGCTGTCCATGCGGGATGGCCATGCTTCCTGGGCAAGGCACCTCCGGACACGCTGTTTGGCCTGTCCGGCACGGCGGTGTCTGTCTGCGGCGTGGGTCCCGCCGGGCAGAGCCACGAGCAGCCCGCGGGTGGCGCAAGGGGGCCGGGGCCGTGTCCGGGGTCGGTGCGGGGCGTGGTGGGGAGGTGGGAGTGGGTGCAGGGCCGAGCAGCGGGAATGCAGCACACAGGCACTTTGTTTGGCCAGGGTGGGCGGAAGTCAGGGCGTTAGATCTGAATGCTAAAGTGTGTTGTTCATGGGCCGATAAAGGCCCCATTGTATGTAAATAGTTTATAAAGCAGCATATGACTTCCAGTGCAGGGCAGTGGCAGAGAGAGACGAGGGCAGGCGGAGCAGAGCTCTCCTGCGGGAGGCATGAGACCTTAGAGGGGCCACTGGGGGCAGCTTGCGAGGACCCTTCCTCACCGGCAGGTACGCGTCGCCAGGATCCTGTGCGCTGGGGGTGGCTGGTCCCGGCCGCCCAGACTCCTGCAGGGGTGGGAAGCAGCTCCCGGGGTGCCCAGTGCCCGTGGGTCGCTCTGGTGGGGCAGGGGTCTGTGCCTGGGGGTGGGGTGGCCCTGTGTTCCCCGGGCAAGGATGGCCCTGGGAGGGTGGCAGTGCAGGGCTGCACGGGGGGATCCCCCCAGCTCAGGGCTCCGTGGCCATGCTCCTGCAGATAATGGGAGAACAAAGGGAGGTACTGGTGCAATGGAGCCCGTGAAGCTTGGGACTATTCCTAGCCAAAGAGCTCAGCACTGGGTACTGAGGGTCCCTGAGAAGGTGTGGGAGCTTCATCCCCATTCTCTGTGCCAGCTGTGGGTTAGGATCCCTGTGCCAGCGTGGGGTGGCAGGACTGGAGAATCTGGCACTGCTGGGGCAGCCAGTCTCCTGCCTGCTCTGGCCAAAATGCTGCCTAGAGCCGTATCAGGAGCAGGAGCCATGCTGCCATCCTCCTGTCTGTCGATCCTGCTCTCCACCCACCAGGGCTGCCACCCAGTTGCTCCCAGGTCCCTCCTGGGGCTGCTGCCACTGGAGCCCGGACCTGCTGGCTCTCAGCCAGGGGTCCTTCCTGCTGCTAACACCATCCCTCACCGCTCTCTCCTGCAGACGTGAGAAACGATGAATTGGGCCGGGCTGTACACGGTGCTGAGCGGGGTGAACCGCCACTCCACGGCCATCGGGCGCATCTGGCTCTCCGTCATCTTCATCTTCCGGATAATGGTGTTAGTGGTGGCAGCCGAGAGCGTCTGGGGGGATGAGAAATCCGCCTTCACCTGCAACACCCAGCAGCCTGGCTGCAACAGCGTCTGCTATGACCACTTCTTCCCCATCTCCCACATCCGTCTGTGGGCGCTGCAGCTCATCCTCGTCACCACGCCAGCCCTTCTCGTGGCCATGCACGTGGCCTACCAGCAGCACCAGGAGAAGAAGCTGCTGGTGATGACCGGGCACGCGGATGCCAAGCACATGGAAGAGGTCAAGAAGCACAAGATGCGCATAGCAGGATCGCTGTGGTGGACCTATGTCTGCAGTGTGGTCTTCAGGCTGCTCTTCGAGGCCGTGTTCATGTACATCTTCTACATGCTCTACCCAGGCTACCAGATGATGCGACTGGTAAAGTGCGAGGCTTACCCCTGCCCCAACACCGTCGACTGCTTCATCTCCCGGCCCACTGAGAAGACCATCTTCACTGTCTTCATGCTGGTCACCTCCAGTGTCTGCATCATCCTCAATATGGCAGAGCTGGTCTACCTGGTGGTGCGGGCCTGCGCCCGGCGAAGCCAGCACCACTCCAACCCCTCATCGGGGAAGGGCTCCTTCTATGGGCACAAGCATTCCTCCGAGTACAAGCAGAACGAGATCAACCAGCTGCTGACAGAGCAGGACGGTTCCCTCAAGGACATGCTGCGCCGCAACTCTGGGCTGCAGGAGAAGGGTGACCGCTGCTCTGCCTGCTAGGGGCAGGGGCCACCGGCCCCACAGTCGCCCCACGGGCCTGTTACTGTCCCTGTCCCAAGGATAGCATCCCTCAGGCGTGAGTCTGGCTCTCCTCAATGGCCAGGAGGGCATCTTGGGCCATTAAATCTCCATTCTCAGGTGCTGCCTCCCTCCTTTCTGCTCTGGCCTTGATATGCTGGGAGCTGGGGTGCCAGTGTGGGGTATCCATCCCTGCACCCAAGCCCTGGAGGGTGTCACGAGGGGCTGTGGGGGCTGCAGTGCCAGGGCTGAGCTGGGGCTGTGGCTGTGTTGCCCTGACAGCCAGCAGCGGCCAGTGACCCCTGGGTGGCATTGATCAGTGTCCAAGGGCTTGCGCTCCCCCAGCACCAGCCCCTGCAGCCCCGAATATAATTAGAAAAGTGCCCAGACCAAAAATAGAGGGAAAAAGTTTCCCCAGTGGCTGTTTGATGTGCCAGTCACAATGAAAGCCAATGGGGCACGCAGCTGCCTCATGCCCCAATAACCCCATGCCTGCTGTTGGGTGAGCGGACAGACGGAGCAGGCAGACCGGTCTGCACCCCACAGAGGATCTGGGGACTGGCTGGGAAGGGGCCTCACAGCATCCCCCAACACCCCTGTGACAGGAGGGGACAGCGCGGGAGCACCGGGCTCTGCCCCACACACCGTCTACGGTGAGAGGTCCCCATGCTGCCACCGCGGCTGTTCCCAGCTCTCTGCTGGATGCCTTTGCTCCCCCTGCTCTCCTTGTGACAGGTTAGGGGGTCCCCTGGGACACAGGATGGGGACGCTCCAGGGACAGCCCTGGGTTGGGTCTGTGCACACCTGCTTGGCCAGGGAGCGGGGCGGTGTTTTGGCGGGTTGTGGGGCGGCTGTGTCTGGAGGGTGGCTGTCTTGCAGGGCACCACAGCACGTGCAATGGGGGACTGGAGCCTGCTGGGCCGGCTGCTGGAGAACGCCCAGGAGCACTCCACGGTGGTGGGGAAGGTCTGGCTCACCGTCCTCTTCGTCTTCCGCATCCTGGTGCTGGGGGCAGCCGCGGAGCGGGTCTGGGGTGACGAGCTGTCTGGCTTCTCCTGTGACACGCAGCAGCCCGGCTGCCAAAATGCCTGCTATGACAGCACCTTCCCCATCTCCCACCTCCGCTTCTGGGTCCTGCAGATCATCTTTGTCTCCACCCCCAGCCTTGTGTATCTGGGGCACATCCTGCACCTGGTGCATCTGGAGGAGAAGGCACAGCAGCAAGCGGCAGCGCGGGCCGGCAGCGGGGCCAGGCGGCAGCGCCCCAGGCAGCCCCAGCTCCCTGCAGGGAGCACCAGGGCACGGGTGTGCATGCGGGGGGCCATCCTGAGGACCTACATCTGCAACATCGTCTTCAAGGCTCTGCTGGAAGTGGGCTTCATTGTGGGCCAGTACGCCTTGTATGGGTTCCAGCTGAAGCCCCTCTACACCTGCAGCCGCTGGCCCTGCCCCAACACGGTCAACTGCTACATCTCCCGGCCCACTGAGAAGACCATCTTCATCCTCTTCATGCTGGGGGTGGCCTGCGTGTCCCTGCTGCTCAACCTGGTGGAGATCTACCACCTGGGTCTCACCAAGTGCCGTCGGGGGCCAGGCCCCAAGTCCCGCATCCTGACCGCTCCTGGTGGGCCTGTAGGGCCTGGCAGCACCTATGTCACTCTGCCCAGGGGTGGCAGCTCCCACCATGGCCTGGCACCGCTGAAGAAGGCAGGTGCATGGTTAGGGGTGGCTGGTGGGTCCCACAGGGATGTGAGAACGGCAGACCTGGCAGTGTAAATGTGGCCTGCTGGGATGGTCAGGGATGGGCAATGCATGGGTGGTCACTGTGGTGATTGTGTCTCCAGTCTCTGCCAGGCCCAAGGCATGGAGAGCTGGGAACAGCCTTGGGGACACTGCTCGGCTGTTCCTGGCACTCCTGGGAGGGCTGAGAGTAGAGCTTGGAAGGGGGAGAAAATAAACACTTGCTGCACCTCACTTGACTCCTGCTCTGCTCACAGGCTCTGTGGCATTGCTCTCCAGCTGCTCCATCTACGGTCACACTGCATGGCCGGGGCAGGGCCACTGCTGGCTTGGGTGGGGCTGCACACTATGGGCCCAGGGCAGGGCAGGGACAGGCAGGGCATGTCAGGCTGGCACTAGTGGGCACTGGGGCAGAGGCCATCACCACATTGCAGAGCTGGCAGGACAGCAGGGCCCAGGCAAGGTAGGAAGTGCAGGGAGTTAAGGCTGGGATGGACAGGAGCAAGGTACACAGTAGCACAGGGACACTGACCCTGTTCTCCTACAATGCTCACCCTGCCCAGGGGGAAAAACCAGGGGCTGCCAAAGTTTTCCACATCTTTATTTGAAATGAATGGTTTCCAGAGACACAGGGTGAGTCCTACTGCCCTGGCATCACTACAACAAGACTGGTGAGCAGCTCACTCTCCACATGGACACAGAGAACAGATGGCCCCAGGCCAGGGCCCAGAACAATATATACAGGCTCAACAGGAGACCCATGTACAGCTCAAGAAAACCGACCAGAACACAAGAAGGGGCAGGAGGCAGCACGGAGTGGCACAGCTGGAGCCAGACTTGCTCTGGGCAGGGTGGTGGCAGCCTGTGGCTGTGGGAAGGAGGGGGAGGCCAGGCAGGGCTCCCTGCTTCTGCAAGCAAATGCCTGGGCCCCTGGCTGGAGCAGAGGTTTCCACTGATGGCACCTTGCACAGGGGAGGGTCCTTACACCAAGACAGGGAACAGTGGGGAGAGAGGGGCAGCACTAGTACAGACTCATCTCCATCAGTTTTCAGCAGACTCAGAAAACACTGACCAAAGAGAGGGAGGCATCCTGGCTGCACACAAGGGAGGTATCCCTGTGGCAAGGCCAGATCTCTGCCCACAAATTCCAGTGTTAGCCCCATCCACTCCCTGCAACCAACCCAAATCTCTCTCACCCTGGGACAAAAGCTCTCCCCCTGACCCAACAGCTCTCAGGCTGCCTGTGGCCCATGCCCACTGGCTTGAAAAGACAATCCTGCCCCAGCAGCAGAGCTACTGTTCCTGCCTTGATGCCTCCAGCCTTGCGAGGGAATGCTAAAGGAAGAGGGAAGTAAAAGCTTTGGGAGCCACTGGTCCAACGGGGCAATGTGTTTTGTGCAATTCCTGCCCTGGGGCACAGGGAGAGAGGGGCAGCGGCAGGGCTGGGGGTAGGGGAGGGACAGGGCTGGGCAAGGGGAGCTGCACCAGGGACTCTGCCACTCCTGTGCCACGGGAACAGACCCTGGGGAAGATGGCTCACCCAGCAGCCAGAACTGGAGACAGAGCTGAGTGTGGGGGCCACGCACGTAGGGGATGCCTGTAACGAGCAGGATGGGAGGTCCAAGTCTGGTAATGATGCAGGGACAGCACTGCTGCAGCACCATCCCTTCCTATGCTGCACGGCCCCTGCCCTGCAATGGGAAGCAGCAAGATGAGGTGTCCAGGGCTGGAGTGCAGCCAGTCCAGCAGCACCTCTGCCTTAGTCCACGTCGTCCTCCAGGCTGCTGAGGCGGCTGTGCTCCTCGTAGATCTCCCTGACGGCCAGGATGCGGTTCAGCATGCTCTCCAGCATGCTGCGGTCCATGGGGATCACCGAGTACCACAGCGGGGACTCGGCGATGCACGAGCGCTCGGGCTGCAGGTAGAACACGTCGCTGCGGTTCCGCAGGCTCTCGGGACTGTGGAGAGACAGCAGGGTGAGACCTGGGCTGCAGCTCCCTGCAGGGGCTCAGACAGCCTGGCCTGTGTTTAGCAAGGAGTGTCCACAGCTCGTCACAGCCTCTCATCATTCAGTAGGGTAAGGACACAAACTCAGCCTACAGCTCCTTGTTCAAGGCCAAAACTCCCAACCACCCAAGCACTGGACTCTTTACTGCACATTCCTGCCAGTCTGGAGAAGGGCAGGAAGTGGAAAAGACTGGAGAGAAGCATTCTCTCAAAGTTGGGCTAGTGAAGCAGCACAGAGCCTGGGCAAGACTGCATGCTCTGTACAAATGTATGGAGAGCAGCAGTCACTCCACAGGGTTACATCAAAACTAAGAAGTGGCCCCAAAATGGCACATGCCTCTTCTCCAGAGAAAGCCTCACCATTTGGAGAGATAAAACTCATAAAACTTGACTGGGCATCGGAGGGGATTCATCCTGTTCTCCCGCTGCTCCAGCATCGGAACCTCCTCCTCACGCTTCCGTTTTCCAGAGCCGCCATCTGCAGAGAGGGAGAGAGCTGGATCATGGCTGGGTCCTGGTGGGGGATGCAGGGGGAGGAACAGAGATGTTCCCCCAGACCCACCTCGGCTTTTCTTCTGCTTGGCAGGAGCGTAGTAGCGGATGCTCACCACCTTGGTCATGCCGCGGGCTGTGGTGCACTTGCGGGACTGGCGCACCACATTGGTGAAGGAGAGCTGCATGTGCTCCTCTGCTGTCTGCAGCCCAAAGAACTTGGTGTTGAAGAACATGAGGGTGTTGAGAAGCACAAAGGGTGAGTAAACACCCAGCTGTTTGCACTCCCAGAGGTGCTCCTCCTCGACACGGGAGAAAACTGTGTCTGCAACACACAGAGGGAGAACCAGGTCACATCAGCAGTGGCTTTGTGGCAATCCCTTCACCCTGCCTCTGCAAAAGACTGATGCTTCACAGCATCTCTTTTTCCACAAGGTTCTTCTCCTCAGCTAGAGCTCTGCCCAGCCATAAGCCTCCCCAGATCACAGCCAAACCACAGGTGAGAACCCAAATCAATCCTAACTGCTCATCACTACAGATGGCCAAAAAGTGAACTCCAGGTCAGTGCTCCACCACACTCAGTGAGAGATTAGGGAAAAGCAGCAGGCAGGAGAGATCTGGCCAGCTCCTGCCTAGATACACAGGTCTGGAGTCAAATGGTTCTGCCTGGGATAGCCAATCTGCAGAGATGAGGCTGGATCTGTGAAATAACTACTGACAAGACACAGCAGGGAAGGCAGCCCAGATCACAGCAACAAGAAAAGCCTCTGCAGAGCTCTAGGTTAGCCCATTCACAAGGCAGCAGCACAGCAACCTTGGCCAAGGCTTAGCACCATGTGCAGGGCTCATCCATGTGCTGATAACATAAGCACAAGCACCAGTGTGCCTCCTGGCTTGGCATCCTCCATGCCAAAGGGTGGAGACATCACTGTGAAGTGTTGTAAAGATTCAAATTGTCCCAAGATACAAAGTACAGGTGCTCTGCTCTCAGCTACCCTGACTGTGGGCAACAGAAGCAGCTGAAGCACAAACCATGCTGGCTCTGCAGTTGGTTTGGGTCAGTGTGACCTCAACACACAGCAGAACTGTGCTGCCTATGCCAAGGTTGAAGCTGGGGGAGCACAATCAGGCTACAAGCACAAACTGGATTTATGGGGACTGAAGGTACTCTGAAGACACATACTATTTGGTAAGATTGTGGGTTGCCAGCCACTCAGGGATTTGTTCAGCTCCTGCACGAAGGTCAGGTAGTAAAGGTCTGTAAATATATTCACCATACGATTGTTCTCGAGCAGGTACTAGAAAGGACAGAACACACAGTCAAGAGAAACACAGCAGCACCTGGAATGCAAACCCTCCCCAGAGAGCACAGGGCACATATGCAGAGCACCCCTCCCTGCACCACCAGAGCTGCTGGGCAGACACAGAGAGCTGCAAAGAAAACCCTGGGGCATGACTAAGCAGACTTAGGGCTGAAGAAGGGCCTGAGTTTGGGGAGATCCCCCAGTCCTCCTCAGAGATGTGCAAGAAGGGTGCAAGGCTGGGGAATAGATGCCACCCTACTCTGAGCTTGGGAACAAAGACGAAACCAGGTGGGATGCTGTCTTGGGCTGAGGCACTAAAGGAGAGTCCAGCCAGCCTCTCTGGGTCCCCAGAAGGCAGAATGAAGGGTACAGGCTTCCCTCACCAGATTTGACCCCAGTCTGGCTGTAGAGGATGAGGGCACAGGCCCCCCTCACCTGCTGGATGCCAAGGCAGAGGTAATAGATGCTGTCTGGTTCATAGCGCTCCCCGTTGGGCCGCGTTATCTCCTTGACAAACTGTGCCAGGCCGTAGTTGAGCTCAGCTGCTGAGCAGGCTAAGATGTCTTCCTTGATCCTCATGGGCTTGGCTGCAGAGACAAGCACAGCAGCCTCAGACAACAGCCTACAAGGTCAGGAACACCTCAGCACCCCAAGGTGCAGCTTCTGGGAGGTTTCTGCCCCTGCACTGCATCAGACAAGGCACTTACGGCCGAAGCGTAGCTCCTCTCCCTTGCTGCTTTCTCCCCCTGCGTACTTGGCTTGTACCCAGGACTTCCAGGCATTCACACCATACGAGTAGTTGAGCACTGTACAGCTGGGCTGGCTGCTCATGGAGTCCCGGGAGCAGCTCTCAGAGAGCACCAGGCGCTTCTGCCCCTGCAGAGAGGTGTTAGTGAGACTGGGCACCCACCTGGCACAGGTGCAGGACTCCTGGCCACCCTCACACCTGCTGGCTGCCAGCTCCCTGCAGTGTGCCATGGCACCAGGCACCACTCTGCTGGCAGCCAAGCCAACAAAGCTCATTAATTACAAGGGTCACAGGCAAGAAAGAGACCAGCTAGCTGTCACACGATTTGTAGCATTCAAAGTTCCTCCGAAGTGACAAGCAAGTATTTTCATTCAAGGAGTGGCCTGCAGGCCAACCATGCCCTGAAAGGAGAGGGCACAACCTCCCCAGCACACCAAAGACTCTGGTACACTTCACCTCCTACAGCCCAGGTGGCAGCTCCCATGCCAAACCCAAAGGGCTTTAAGCAGGCAGTACCCAGAGAACTCCTCACCTTCCGCACAGCTCGAGGCAGATCCTGCTCTGTGGACACCTCATCTGGTCCCACCAGCCCACAGTCAAAGAGGAAATCCACACTGGGGTTGATGTCCAGAGGATCTGAAAGGAAACACAGGCAGAAGGGCTCAGCTGAGACTTCTCATCCTGCCCCCTGTGCTGGCCTGATTTTTACAGTAAAATGAAGAGGGAACACTTCACATCCTCTATCACTGCCTGGAATGAACTTTCAGCCACAGCCCAACAAAGGAAATAAGGCTCTGGCAGAGAATGCTAAAATTTCTCAGAATAACCAGAACCCCACATTTTTATCTCTGACAGTTTTTTGTTTATTTTTTAAAATTGAGAAACATTCCTCGTTCCCTGGTGTCAGGCCAGTACTGTGGACAGCCTGGCACAGGCAGCTCAATTCTGTTGTTTGCTGCATTGCTGTGCTCCTGCAAGTCCCTGCCTCTTCTTCCACTTTCTGTTAACAGACACTCAGCAATTCTGCCGTTCCTCAGGATGCCATGCCTTGTCCAGGTTTCTCATTTAGCTGGATCCTATGGAATCATCACTCATAAACACACTAGTACTGCTGCCCTGCTCTTTGTGCTGTTCAAATCAGCTTCTCATTCCCCCCCTCTCTGGGTCTTAAGTTCACAACAGGTAAGTTTAGTCTGGACAAACAAACACTCTTTCAGAAGTGGTGGTCTCCCCACCCCTGCTGCAAGCAGTCACCGCAGGGCTCTCACACCACGTCAGTCAGAGGGCACAGGGAGGTGAGAGCACACAGCTGAGGGCAGTGGGAACCCCCTCAGTAGCCCTGTGTGACCCAGCTCTTACTCTTAGGGAAGTCAGCCTCCAGGTCCTGGCCCGGCTCATCGAGGACATTTGCCATCTTGACAGCCATGGCCAACACATCGTCCCGTGCTGGTCCAAACAGATCACAGTCCTCCAGGAGGCCCTCTGCACTCTGGTTACTCACCAGGTCTGAAAGGAAAAAGTTCATCAGAAACGAAACTTTCTTGAAAATCTTTTGTCTGTTTTCCCTGTGATAACTGGAAAACGAAGTCAGGATCCCTGTGATCAGAGCAGCCCCACGACATCTGAGCTGTCCAGCTTTCCCTGGACAGAAAAACATTGGAAGGTTGTTGTCACCTCAGCCACAATCCCTATCACTGCCATTTATAGGAATGCAGCCCCCTAGGTAAAAAAACCTACAAGACCAGGGCTGCATGCAGCTACCTTTTGGCTGTAGCATGGAAGCTGCTTTAGGGAAGAATCTCTACAGCCACCTGAATAAACTGAGAGAGCTGCACCTGTGCCACAAGACTGGCACCCCCAAAAGGGACAGTGGCAGACACTGATCCCTGCTGCTCTTCCCTTCCGGTACCTCCTCAGTAGAAGTTAAGGACTTGGTCTTCCCTGCTTCCTCTCCAAAGGCTTTGGGAGAGCCACAATCCCAGCAGGTGCTTTAGCTCCAAGAGCTGGCAAACCCCCCTTGATCCCAGCTGTTGGACAGATCAAGCTATGGCAGAACCTACCACACAGGTCTGAGGAGGCTTTGTCCAGTTCCTCAGCCTCTGCAATCATCTCAGCCATGGCCAGGATGTCAGCCTCTAGGGGATTGGAGGGGATCTTCACCTTCAGTTCCTCAATGGTCTCCACAATCTTCTCTGTGCTCTCCAGTGTGGTGGGCAGGAACATTGGCACAGGCACCTGTGGACAGCAGCACACCAGGCAGAAAACTGACACTCAGTAGACTGACACAAAAGCAGAGGCAGGAGACGAGCATGAACAGAGAAGCAGGGAGACTTGAGCAAGGCAGGATCACAAGAGCAGGAGGACACGAGCAGGTGAAGCGTGTTGCTTACCGGGACAGGCATGGAGAAAGGCACAGGTACTTTCTGGCAGTACATATGCATAGGCACAGGCACGAAGATCGGGACGGGGATTGGCAACACAACCAGCTGGGGCTTCCAGTCAGCCTCTGACAAGAGCAAAAATACATCAGTGACCTTAATCCCTGAAGTTCCTCCACCCAGCTCTGCTGCATGCTGCCATGCCCCCAGCCATCCAGCACCACGGCCCTTCCAGCCACCAGCTCCTGGACTCAGGGGCAGAGCTGCAATAGCAGCAAGTCAAAGTCAGCAGCAAGAGAGGCTTGCCTTAGCCAGAAGTACAAATCCTGCTCTTACACAGCCCTGCTAAGAGGTCTAGTTGCCTTGCATATGCTGCAGACCACACAACAGGAACTAGAGTGGAACTGGTTTAGCAGACAGCCCTCAGACAAGCTAATGATCTCCAGAGGAACAGGAGCTGCCCCACAAGAGGCAGGATCATGCTACAGAGCTCTCTACACTTCTCCTTTTGCTGTGATGGAAATGGGCTCCCTGTCAACAGCCCTGCCATGTGTGCCCTCTACCCATGTGTGCCCAGAGACTTCTCAGCACGGTGCCCAACACCCAGCCTGCTCTGTGCAGCATTTCAGGCTGGATTCACAGCGTGGAGCAGGGACGTGCCACTTGCCTTTCCAAAATGCCCCTGTAATCCTACAGTTAAACCTTGCTTTCCTACCTGTCTGACATCCTTTGGACTTCATTTCAAGCTTGCAGGAGACACCCCGGTTCTGCATCAGGGGTTTACACATGGCAGCTTTGTTTTTCCGAGGGGTGGCTGGAACCAGAGGTGGGGCAGGAGGCGGCACAGCTGGAGAGGTTTGGGCTGAGGAGGCCTTTGCTGACAGCTGGGAAATGCAGAAAGCAGGAGGTTGGTGTCCACCTAAGGCAGCACGATCTCTTCCCTACTACAGGTGCAGATAGAATGACTCCCAAAGCACCTCCTGGAGCCTGGCAGTCCCTAACATGTGGACACTCCCATGGTCAGGCCATGATGAAGGACAGCCAAGCTGTTCCTGGCAGGCAGCAAGCCTGTGTACAGCCTCTGCTGTGCCAGGAGTCCAGCAGTGGTGGCTCCTGTCCCACAGGGTAGAGGGGAACAGTGGGACAGCAACTATACCCAGGGACAGGAAAGCACTGTGCAAAGAGAAGCCAGTGAAACAGTGTCAGAATGTTCATCATTGATTCCTGGGGAACAGTTATTCTTCCCCTTTGCAGGAGATATGTTGATGCTGCCTTCCTAGGAGTTCTTTTAATTTCCTGCTACCCAGACATCACAAAATGCATTGTTTTGTAAGAATGAAATCTCCCTGAGCAATGGCAGAAACTGTCCTGTCTTTGGGGACAGCCCCTTTGTTTTGCAAACTCCTACCACCAATGGGTCTTACCATGTTAGTTTCTGCCTTCTGTGTGGAAGGGACAGCTGGTTTTGGCTCTGAAGTCTGACCTGTAAGAGAAAGCAACAACTCTTAAGTTCAAGAGCTCCTGGGCCAACATGTCCCACTGCTGGGACTGGAGGTGCAAGCAGCCAGAGAGCAGGGACAGGCTCTCCGGAAACTGCCCCTGGCCACTCCAGGAACAGTTAATGTTTCCATAATCTCTAGCCCTAACACCTCAGAAGACACTACAACTCCAAAATCAAGTTATTCCCATGTGATTTTGTGTTCCCTTACAGTCCACCCCTTCCCCATGACAGCAGGTCAGGAGAAATCCCAGCCCCTTGTAGAGAGAGGAATCCAGGGCTCTAATCCCAGCTCTGCCTATTGGCTTGCTGTACCGAGCCATGGCCCCTCCCTGTGCCTCCATATCCCTGCAGCAAATATCTTGGCAAAGTGCTTCGAGATCCCGAGGAAGAAGGTGACAGAGCTAGCAGCAGCATTGTGAGAAATCCCAGAAAGCAGAGAGACAGCTTTGCCCAGCCCTAGGGATGCAGTCCATTCCCCTAAGGAAAGAGAGGATCACCTGCAGGTGAGAGGTGTGTGTGGCAGACACTGGTCTCAGGTGGTGACACCATCACCCTGCCCTGCATGAGAATCCAGCTCATGTGCTCTGCAGAAAACCTGCACCCACCTCAAAGGCTGGTGAGCTACCAGAGCACCTTCATCCCAGTCTCCAGTGATCCCTGGTTACCCATGTGACTGGCAGAAAGAATTGCCTTCCACTGGTGGGCCATGCATGAAGGAGACCCTGCAAGGACAGCAGCAGGTCCCAGCACCCAAAGGCAGTGGCAGGTCCATTCACAGCTCCTGTGCACAGACAGGTCCTTCAGGAAAGACCCAGATTCCTAAAGGTCCAACACAGGGACATTCACACTGTGAAGACTTCCTCTGAACCTGAGGAAGTGAAGGATAATTTTTGTACAATCTGAGGCCCATCAGGCTCCACTTGCTGACCACCACAGGGGGCAACAGATAAACCCCAGCTGGAGGAAGCTCCCTAATCTGCAGCTGAGCATTCAGCCACAGGATCTGCAGCAGTCTCAGGGGCCAAGAACTCACCCTGACAATCCAAAGTGGATGGGCAGCAGGTTCAGGTGGGAAACACCAATGGCCTGAATGAGGAAAGACAAGCTATGGCTTATGAGCAGAATTTCTGCTGCAGCAGAATCCAAAGCAAACACGATTGCCCCACTGGTCAATGATTTAGGACTAAAGAAAACAAGATTCTCCTGTCATATGCTATGTGTCCAGGCTTCCAGGAAAGTTGCAGCTTGTTCTTTTTCTCATCCCAACACCAACAAGGAGCTGTCAAGGCACTGCCTGCCACAACTGTGACTTCTACCCTCTCCAGCTGGACAGCCCAGTGCAGAGCCAGCTCCTTTGGAAGCCTTTTGGGCCCAGTTTTGAAGCAAAACTCCTCAGTTCCACACTACATGAACTGTTCCCAGCAAGGCAATGTCTGCTTGTATGATCAGCTACAAGAACTCTCACGATCACCAGATTGGTAGCAGCCACTGGATCCCAGGAATTAATGGATTTAGGCAATCACTGGCTGCAAGAGAGTAAGCAAGAATAAGCAGCTCTGCCCAAGATGAGCCTGAAATCCAGGTAGGCCCTTGCAAGCTGGCAACAAAGCTGTCAGATCCACAGGAGACCATGCAAAAGCTGGTCCTCCTAAAAATCTCCTGCACAGCACAGCTGGAAAGCTCTCTGTGTAAGTGAAACCTGGCTTCAGCATCTTTCCTTTGCAAACTCAGCAGTATCCCACAGTCCTGGGGCAAGGATGTCCACAGCAGTCCCACATCTGGCAGGGGACTGGTGTGCCAGAGCATACAGAGGGTCCAGTGCATCCACTAAGCACAGCAACTGCTGGGGCAGCCTGGAACTCGTGCTCAGCTGAGCACTCACAACTGATGACAGGCTTTTCCTTGGCTCCTTTTAGTCCTTACAGGTTGCATGGAGATGCAGCTGTGGCACAGTGAAGAGTGATGCCCCACATACCAAGCAGCAGAGTTCTGGGGGGCCTCCAGAGATGTGGTGGACGAGGCTTGAGACTCTCGTGGTTGGTGGTGGTGGTGAAGGTACTTCTCAGTCTTGTGGCCCATGGTTCCAAGGAGACAAGAGCTGAAAGTGTGAAACATCTTCCCTCTGCAGGCAGAGCTTGCCCACTGTGCCTGTCCAAAAGCTGTGGTACAGATCTCTCAAAAGCAACATGCTTTGACAGCAGAGGACAAATGGAACAGCATGGCTAAGGCTGTGCAATCACTTGGTGAGCTACAGGAACCAGCATGTCTTCCTCCCTTGGGAGCAGAGCGCTGTAAATCAAGCAGAATTCCCATGGGCACCCCTGTGCCAGCAGAAACCAACAGTTCCTTCTCCAGGTCACTCCAGTGTGCTGCTACTTGAGCTGTCACCTCACACAGCCTGTTATGGAGCGTGGCCCTTGGAAGGCACATTGGGCTTCCCCCAGCTGGGGGAACATGCTGCTTCTGGCAGGGCAGCTCTGCTTACTGTCTAAGCAGCAAGACATCCAGAGCTTTCCCTGTCCTATGATCAGTGCTCTACAGTCAGGGGAGGAGCCTCAAGAGTCTGGAGATGGAGGATGAGGTCTCTCATGAGAAGCTCCTTGTCTTGGTTTCCCCTCCTTGGCACACCCTAGCCAGGGTTTTACACATCATGAAATCCCAGGGAGGCCAGCAAAGCCCTGAACCTGTGATGCAGGTATGTGTTGAAGCTTGATGCACTGCAGCAAGTCCCACTGTAAGCTGCAAGCACTTTAACTCTATCCCCAGGTCACCCAGGAGATTGTGGCCTAAGAAAGACCAAGCAGAATGAGACTGCAGGTGTCCGAGGGCCAAGCGGTGTCTTGTCACTGTCACTAGGAGCACCTTCCATCCTGAGGGATCCCAAAGCACTTTGCAATCTTCCATAAGGAACTGGCTCGAGTTAATGACAGGAAATGGGGCAACAGGCAGTGAAAATCTCCTCTCCAGCTGGTTCTCCATGGATGCAGAATGGGGTTATCTGGGACACAGGGTTGGCAACTCCCCAAAGCTGCAGTGAACTTTGGGTAAGTGGTAGGACTCCAACCTAACATCGCAAGACACAGTGCCTCCAGCAGCTCAGCGCTCCCTCAAGACCGTTCTAGGTTCAGCTCTGGCTGAAGGAGAGCCCACCTACAGCATCACCAGCACCACTTCCTGCAGCACCCTTCTTTGTCCTTGAATGTTTCCCATCCAAGCACTGACCTGGCCCAATCCAGATTAGTTTATGAGATCTGAGAAGGTCACAGCTCGGAGGTGGTGTGAGGCTGCAGGTGGATTGTCATGCCAAACCACGCTGTCCCCTAACCCTGTAAATCGAGCTCTCCGCTGGCAACTTGAGGATGTTAAATCCCTGAGTATCCTCGCTAAGAGTGTGAGCTACAGGCAGCACGCTGGCACCGGCTCCTCCCGTCTGGGCCCTGTGTGTCATAGAACCATAGATGTTAGAGATGGAGAAGCCCATTAGGTCCCACTCCGTCCTTTCCCCCCCAGGGGCCAGTGCAGGATTGTTCCCTAGCGTCTCCTCCAGTCCCAGGCAGGCAGCTTCCACCCCCTGCTGTTGAGTCTTCCCTGTGTCTCTCAGACTGAGCTATGCAGGTTCCCTCCCTCCCTCCTACTCACTGTTCAGCAGGCTCTCGGGCCCCTTCTGCGTGTCCAGGTTGGGCTGGTTCTGTTGATTGTAAAATCGCAGCAGACACTGCTGGTTGCAGAAGTGTTTGATTTGCCCCCGCCAGTGGATGGTTTCCAGCAGCTTCCCCTGACGCTTGCAGGCATGGCACCGAGCTGCCTAAAGCCCGCATCAGCAGGAGAGAAACAACGAGTAACTAACCACACCCCCTCCGAGTGCAACACAACTCTCCAGTGAAAGGTGCACATCGCAAGGTGCAGTGAGCTTCCCCACAGCAGTGCCCTGCCAGTGCCAGCCGGGGACTCCAGCGGTGCGAACTTCTCCCAGCAGCACTGGCCGCGGATCCAGCACTGTGAGCTTCCTCAGGGCAGTGCTCTGTCTGGCAGGATCAGCTGGGGACTCCAGCTACGTGAGCTTCCCCGTAGCAGTGTCCCGTCATTGCCAGGCAGGACTCCAGCAGTGCCAGGTTCTCCGCAGCAGTGCCAGCCAGACTCCAGCAGTGTGAACTTCCTCAGTGCAATGCCCACTTATCTGGGTGCCGTGCCCACCACAGCACTTAGCACAAGCTGCCAGTGCCAATACTGACCTTGAAGTACCAGAGCAAGTATTTGCTTTTGCAGTCTTCACTACAGAAGTCCCAGGTGCTGCCCTCCAGCTGCTCGGTGACCGCCCGCTGGCAGGTCTGAGAACAGTAGGTGCAGGTGATGCAGCACAGGCCCAGGTTCTTGGTGAAATCCTGTTTGTAAAGAAGCACACACCCTGCGGAGAAACAATAGGAGTGAAACCTTCCCAGGATGAACTGGGGGCCTCCCTGACCCAAACATGACCAGAATCCAGGTCTGCGGAGACAACAGAGCACACGCAACACACTGTAGGGAACAATCCAGCACTGGCCCCTAGGGCTGGGATAAGATGGGACCTCACGGGGACTTGCCATCTCTCACCTCCATGCTTCTAGGAAGAGTCTGACTCCAACCTCCTGTGTGCAGGAACCCAGCAGGCAGGGCAAGGCCAGGTCAGGCCAGCCCAGACGCAAGAGCGTAGAAGTGCATGATGACAGGAGGAGCGGAGCTGCCACCTGCTGTCTCCCCAGCCCCCAGAGAGAGAAAAGCTGTGAGAAGGCCCTCCCCAAGGACACAATGAACGGTAAAGATCTTGCCCTAGGGCCTGGCTGGACAGCAAGCCATCCCCACAACAGTCCTCCCTTCACTTCATGGCAAGGCTCTTGCCCCAGGGCCTGGCTAAGACAATCTCCCCTCTGTTCCTCTCCATGCTCTCTTCTCCTCCCCCAGCATGGGCTGGCATGGGGGCTCTGCCTCTCCCATGCCTTCCCCAAGTACCTTCGCTGCAGAAGTTCTTCTCCACTCCAGAGAAACGGATCTTCTCATGCAGCAGCTTCTCCTGCTTGCAGTGCTCACACTGAGACACCACCCCACGCAGCCGCTTGAAATCCTCGCAGCAGTCCTTGCAGCAGAACTGATACACCTTGTCCTGCCAAGAGACCACAGCCAGGTCAGCCAGCCTGGCAGCAGGTTCCCACACTTCTCAGGGAAGCAAGAGAAAGACTACAGGGCTGAGTTAAGTCCTCAGCTCTCCTGGCACAGGATTTGGCAGGAGTGGTCTCCTGCTGCCCTTCTGACATCCCGCTGATCAGGAGTGCAGCACTCAGTCTCCAGGCACATCTCTGCAGCTAAGGCATTCAGAGGACTGGCAGAGGAGGAGCTCTGCTTACAGCAGGGAGAGGAAGTACCCCAGAGGTTCTCAGCAGTGTTGGCCTACACCTCAACATCCCCCCAGGTGAAATCCTCACCTGCCAGTCCAGGATCTCCGGCTTCCCGCTGAACAGATTGTGACAGTAATGGCAGTTGAGGTGGATCCCACCTTCAGGGCTGGTGCGCTGCAGGAGACAGAGACAGCTCATGGGGAGAGGGCAGCAGGCACCTGCTCACACTGCCACCACTGCCACCTCCTCCAGGGCCTGCAGCCTGCCTGGCCCCTCGCACCTGCTGCCACTGTGGGGACTCGCTCAGTCCATCTCATCATGTCCCAAGCTCCTGGACAGATGATTCCTGAGAGCAATTTCACTTTGCTTCCAGTGTGCTGGGTCCAGCTCTCCTCAGGAAGGCAAGCTTGCAAGCTTGCCATGCCACTGGATTTAAAAACTTAAATGATGAGGGCTCTGCTACCTCTTCTGAGGATTTCTCTAAAAGTTCTTGAAGCAGAGGTGCCTGATTTCTATTTTCAAGATAATGCAATTTAAGAATTCAAGCAGCCTCTCATCCCATTTTCTGCTAGATTAATCTGCTAGATTAAACAGCATTTGGTGTCCTGTCCACAATGCATTTAGTATTTGGTGTCTTATCCACAAGGATATATTTATTAATAAAGTAATTCCTGGTTTTCTTTCTGATAACCTCAGATAAGACATTCTGCAAGTGCCTCAGTACAAGCATTTTCCAAGCCCAAATTTAATTTTTGGGCTTTTCTTCAGAATACTTTCAATTTCTCTTCAGCATTGAAATGGACAGTGGAGAACATCCTTCCTATATGTGCATCATTCTAGGCAGCTCTTTTGCTCCCTGGCCTTCAAACATTAACTCTGTGTTTGCCTGCTTGTACTTGCAATAAATTAATCCTTCCCTGTGTGGATGTAAATTGAGATGCTCATACTGAATAGTTTACCTGCTGTAATTCCATGGCCTTTTCAAAATCCTTATTTTCAAGGATTTCCACACTACCTGAGCAAAGCTGACAGAGGATCTTGTACTGAAACTGCATTTAAGCACACATTAGGAGGAAACAGTCAATCAATCCAATTGCTTTGCTTTCCATGACTACCCTGAATGCAGCATGGGCTAACACCTCACCAGTTTTTGTTTCATCTGCTAAATTTCATCATGCTTACTTTGACTTTACTGACAAATGATCAGTGAAGATGTTGAAGTCTTTGGACTTAACGCTGATCCCCAAGAAGCCATTTTGAAACATTCTCTCCAGTGTTTTTTCTTTGACAAGTGTGTTCTGAGATCTGCCAGCAACACATTTCCTAACCCAGGTGATGCATGGGTTTACTTATATGTTTACAATGCTGATTTTATATGGTAATAATTCAAGTTAGATGAATCAATGAAGTCCCAGTTGGGAAAATTTGCAACCATTTCTAAAATGGGTAGAAAGAAGGACCCTGGAAACAACTGAACTGTGCAGTGCCTGTGAAGATCATGGAACAGATCCTTCTAGAAGCTGTGCTGAGGCACATGGAGCACATGAGGTGCCAACACAGCCAGCACAGGGCACCAAGGGCACTCCTGCCTGACCAACCTAGTTGTCTCCTCAATAGAGGGAGAGGATTCTGTCCCTCTGCTCCACCCTGGTCAGACCCCACCTGCAGTGCTGCCTCCAGCTCTGGGCTCCCCAGCACAGGAAGGACATGGAGGTGGTGGAGCGAGTCCAGAGGAGGGCCATAAAAATGACCAGAGCTTTGGAAGAGTTCTCCTGTCAAGAAAGACTGAGAGTTGAGATTATTCAGCTTGGAGAAGGCTCTGGGGACACCTTATTGTGGCCTTTTAATACTTAAAAGGGGGCTTGTAAGCAAGATGGGGATACACAATTTAGCAGGGCCCGCTGCAATAGGACAAGGGCTAATAGTTTTAACCTAAAAGAGAGCATATTGAGATTATCTATTTTTTTTTTTTTTTTTACAACGTGGGTGGTGAAACACTGGCACAGGTAGGTGCCCTGACCCTGGAAATATTCAAGATCAGATTGGACAGAGCTCTGAGCAACCTGATCTAATTGAAGACGTCCCTGCTCGCTGCAGGGGAGGCTGGCCCAGATGACATCTACAGGTCCCTTTCAACCCAAACTGTTCTATGATTCTAGTTTTATGAAGTCTACAACACTAAAAGCTTTAGAGCTACACTATTCACACTGTTTGTGACCTTAGTGAAGGATTACAATCAAGGATTTATTAAAAAAAACCAACCAAACAAACAAACAAACAGAAAGAAACAAAAAGAAACCCACCAAAAAACCCCAAACAACCAAATGTCTCCACCACTCCCACCAAAAAAAAAAAAAAAAAACAGCCCCAAACAAATCAAATCTGAAAATGAAATGCTGCAACTGCTGGTAGCTAACTCTTACCTCTAGATTTTCTACGTTTTCTCAGTTGCCCAAGACATGTCCTGGCCTGAGTTTCTCAGGTCTTCCTGGCTGTTACTTTGTTCTTTGACAACTGTACAAAACTAATATTCTTGAAATTGCCTATGAATACCACAGACATCTCATGTTTGCTGAAACTTAACATCAGAAGATTAAAAATCACCAGTCAAGCCTTTGAGGATTATTAAATAAGAGGTATCCAGGCCTGCTACTTGTAAATTTTTAGATAATACATCCTGAAGACTTATGTTTCTCAGTGACACCTGGCTGAGAGGGCAGCTCTGCTCTTTCCACCCAGCTATCAGGTGTGCACTTGTGCTTTGCTGGCTTACTTTTGCACTTGCTTGTGCTCTCCTAAGGCCACTCTACCTCAAACAGCACAGCTCTGCACTGCCCTCCTGCTGGGCATAACCTGATAGACAGGAGTGAATTGCAGCCCTGATAGAGAGGAGTGAATTGCAGCCCACCTTATCCAATGGAGGGTGGGGGAGACAGGGCCAAGACTGGGATTGGAGCAATCACAGTCACTGCAACTCCTGGGCTTCAGAAGAGACTTTCTTAGGAGCCCTCCCTGAGGAGCTCAAGGAAGGTGGAGCCTCTGTTTAGTGTGAAAGGAGGCATGAGCTTCATGGCCCAGCCCAGCATGAAGGATATTTCAGTACCTGGAATTTGGTCCAGCAGCTGGGGCTGCAGAACTGGTAGACAACCCGGTCTGTCTTGTTGTAATAGCAGGGTTCAGATAAACTCTTTCTGCAGAAGCTGCAGGGTCTAGGGGGACCTGAAGAAACAGACAGGAATTGGTGAGGGCAGCAGCACAGGATGTGGGACTGGATTCTGAGGAGGGCATGCAAGTTACTCACTCATCCTCAGTCTGTCAAGCTATTACCAAAAAGCAAGGGACAAGAACAGCAGGAAACTAAGAGCATCAGATTCTACTAGGACAGAAATGTTAAACAGATGGAGAGCAGAGTGGTTCACAGAAGTGACCCTGGCTCTGTAGGAATTTGGACAAAACTGGCTGCAACACTTGTCCCACTCCTGGACACCCCAGTACACCATGTAAAGGGCAGGGCAATGCCAGCACAATCCAGCACTACACCTGCTCCCTGAATTCATTCTCAAGAACAGCAATGCACACTACCCTCTATTAAGATGTCTACATGCTGCAAGGTTCCTCCCTCTGCACTTCCACTTGTCTCACTGGACTCTTCCCCCAGGCTCTTACATCTTTTCAGTCCCATCCACAAGCAACAAACAATACCAAGGAAGGAGTTAAGTGGAGAGGTGATGATTCCCTCTACACAGGTGCTCTTACCAACTAAGCCTGACTGCTTCACTTTGTGGGAGGTAGTGCAGCAAATGGAGCAGAACAGGCCCATCTTGCCACTGCGATCCACGTTGGGCAGCATGTCAAAGTTCTTGCACAGTGTCTTGCACCACATGCAGGGATAGACCCGAGTGTTCTTCTGCAAACACAGAGAGAACAGAGCTTCCAGGAGACCATCACAGCTGGCAAGGCCCAGCTACCACATCCCACCCCACTGCTGAATCCACTACAGGACTACTCTCCTGCAGTGACCACCTGATGCCAGGGATAGGCTCATAGTCTGCAGATTCAGGTGGCAGTAGTAAAAAAAGCTGCCTTTGGCTCTTCAACTTCTCATTTCAAGGGTGGCCCAGCAGGAATACAAAGTTTGGCCATCCCTTCCAAGACAGTTAAGGGAAGACTGCTCAGGTAACAGAGGAACATACCCAGCCCAGCTTTAGGGAGACATCCAGAAGCCAGTCCATGCTAACTGCATATACCAATGTCACTCTACCATCAGTTCATGGACTTTCAGACCCATGCTTGGGTCCATGGTGGGCCCCATGCAGATAAAATAAATTCTGTTTGCCTGCTTCAGAGTTTCCCCACAGCAATCTTTTCACTGCTTTGTCAGCAATCAAAGACCAAGGGGATTCCAGTCACCTGCTATTTAATAAAATCCCCTGTGCCACACCAAGCAAAGTTGCTGTGTGCCCACAGAGAACCTCCCACCCCAGGCAGCTGCCCCCACCCACCTTCTTGTAACTGTTGAGACACGCAGAGTTGCAAAAGCGTTTTTGCTGGCCTTCATGGAAGAGGTACTCCAGGGGCAAGCCCTTGTTGTAGATATAAAGTCCACAGTAGTCACAGCAGTTCGTTTTCAGCCCCTTGGTGGCTCGGAACTTGGTGAAGCAGGCGTCGCTACAGATGCGGTGAACCACATTCCCATTGCTGACCTCATGCTGGATCTGCAGAGACATCACTGCTGTCACTCCCAAACCACCACAGGCCTCCTTCCAGGGCAGCTGTACCACTACAAGCACAACCCTTGGGATAACAGGCACTAAAACTCTGGGAATTGCCATACTGGAAGCTGGTGTGGACTTGAGGTAGCTCCCTTGCCAAAAGTCAGAGGAGCAACTGGGAGAGCAGGTGGCAGGAAGCAGTGAGCCTCAGGCAAGGAAAAGCTTGAGAGTGAGCCTAAGCCAGCTCCTGAGGCCTCACACCACAGGGAAACCTGGCAAATGCCCTGGTCTTGACCAAAACTAAGTGCTGTGAGTCCTAAGCACTTCGTCGAGGACATGGGAAGGACAAGGGATTTGTTTACCTCGCCAGGTTTGTGGCAAACACTGCAGCGGCTGGTGTCCGAGGCATCTGCAGACTGAGGTGCTGGTCTGTGCTGCTGGGCCTCGTAGAGGGAAAGGCAGACAGAGGTGCAGAACTCATGGAAAGAGCCACCTGAACCAATCTGGGCAACCACAGAGTCCTTGGTGTTCCAGATCTCCCTGGGGATCAGGAGGGGATGCGTTAGTGCAGGGACGTGTGTGTCCTGCCACAAAGGGATAGGATGGCTCACTGCAATGTACAGGACTTTCTGGTGTCCCAAAAAGTTGGCAAGAACTGTCTCACAGCAGCTTCTGTCCTGGCCCAGGGGAGAGGTGTTTGAAGACAGAGCATGCAGGAGGTTGTTTTGAGGGGAGGCTGGAATATGGGGCTCTAAGTCTGGGGACAGGCAGGGAAAGCAAGAATGTGAAGGGGGTGTAGGGAGCATGGGGCAGGCAGCGTGTGAAAGAATACACAGGGCAGCAGCTGGCAGCGGGCAGGAGTGATGTGGCTGAACGAGGGCCATAGGAAGGGGACTGGCAGGAGAGCAGTGGAGCATTTGAGTGGGCCACAAGCACGGGAGCACTGAGGACGGGGGAACGAACACACACTTTTTGCAGAAGGTGCATATCTTCTTGCCAGGCGGTTTTTTTGAGAAGGTGGTGAGACAGGAGCTGGAGCAGAAGAGCTGAGGAAGGCCTTTTCTCTGGTAGGCAGTCTGGCCCTTCTGCAGCGGGGTCCGGCAGTTGGCACACGTCATCTTGGTGAAGGAGGAGCGGGCGGCGCGCTGCGCCATCTGAGCGCGCAGCGACATCCGCGTGGAGCGCCGCGTCCGGAACGGGACGAAATCCTCATCGTTGGGATCATCCACCATCGCATCAGAGTCCTCATCAGACACTGGAACTGCAGAGCAGCACAGGAAGATCAGAAACCCCTCGTTAGGAAGTGAGAAACTCTGCCGTGAGACACACGCTGGGATTTTCTGAGTCACCTTTCTAGAGTCCCTCTATGTACTTTGTTCCTGTCTGGGTGGAATGATAAAGGGATCCTTAAAAGAAATTCTGTTGTAACTGGAGATGAATCAAGAGGTGTTTAAACAAACCAGGCTTAAATACAATTCCTGTCTAGGAAGTCATGATACACCAAGGTTGAGCAGAAGCCTGAAGTGTGAACATCTACCCTGTAAGAACTGTTAGACTGGAAAGGGAATGTGTTAATCACCAGATTCTAGCACAGGCAGGCAATAAAGGAGCAACACACAAATACTAGGGAATGGCAGGGTGACATTCAGTATCTCAAAGAACAGACACTTCACTCCAGGAAAATCTCCAAAATACAACCTTTCTCAGCCTGCTCTCATGGAGAGAATGGAAGAAAGTTCCTGGGTGAGGAGATGGAAAATGGATTTCCTGGGAACTCTCCCCCAGTCTCATCCTGTAACTTAGTGCTTGGTGCCCACACACCACTGTAAAAATACTACAACACTCCCTGTTTTGACCTAAGTGCCCTGAGAAAGCAAGGCAAGTACCCCAGGATGGAGACTTGTGGACCTGTCTTGTGTAGAAGGGAAGCCTGCACGGAAGTTCCAGAGTTCCCACTGTACTCACACCATGAACTACCTGCCCACAATGGATCTGGACCATTCTCTCTGCTTTGGTCTCTCTGGACCATTCTCTCTCCCCAGTTACTCACTGCTCTCTGAGGAGTTCACAGTCTCAGGCCTGACAGTTTCTGATCTTCTGGGTCGTTCACTTCTTTTCTGCTCCTAGAAGACATTCAGAAAATAGTTAGGCTAACTAGCAGCTAGGGCAACCAGAGATAAATATCCCAGATTATGGTGAAGTTCCAACTTCTGGGATTTGGTTTCCCAATACCTAGGCTGAAAATGGATAAAACTCCATGGATACCTGATCAGAGCAGGCAAGACAGAGGAGAGAGGAGAGTAGGCTTATGAGAATGACATTTCAGCTGAGGGCAGCAGGGACACACTGAAGCCACATTACAGCATAGTGACAGTGCACAGGGATCGTTCTGTCACAGGAGTCATGCAAACTCCTTTCCAGAGGGCTGATGAGACAGCCAGTGTCCCTCACAGAGTCAGTCTGACAACAGCCAGCCCCACTCTGTGCTCCTGCACCACACATACTTGACTGCAAGCTCCTCACCTTCTCAGCCGGCAGCTCGCTTCCCTTCCCAGACAGGCTTTCTCCTGGAACAGAAGCACAGAACAAACTTGCATCTAACATCTTGCTTTTTTACAATAGAAGAGCACATGTGTTCTCCAAATGCAGCCACCCTTTGGGTCAGTCAGCACATGAAGCCCCAGCCTGTCCTGGCTACCAAGTACAGTTCTGGTGGTGGAAGGTTCCTAAACCCACCAGCTGTAGTTGCAGATCCAAACACACAGATTGGGAGGAGCCCTGTGAGGGGGAGACCGCCCTGCATGGGGGAGGCAGGCTGGGTGGGCTGCTTTTGACCAGACTGAGCATCTCCTGGGGATGGCCAGCCTGGGCAGAGGAACTTTGCCTATTGGAAACAGCTGGTGCTGACCCTCAGTTCCAGCAAAGACTCCAGCAATGGAGAGCGTGCGCTCTCTGAGCTGCAAACTCAAAGAGCACAAAGCCCCCTTGGTGACATTCAGTACAGTGCTACTTGCACACAGTGCCATCTTAGACCATCACTGTCTCATTCTTGGCTACTGTCTACAATTGTTAACAGTTATTGGAGGAGTTGAGATGTTTCAAATAAAAAAAGCTGTGGCTGATGTGCAGCCATAGCTTTACTGGGGAAGCTCCTTGCTTCCACAATCACCAAAAATCAATTAAAGCCATGAAAGCCAGAGCAGGAGCTTGTGCATACCAGAACATTATTCCCTTTACACAAGAGGCTTTGCCCAAATCTAGACCATCAGAAGGGTTGGCTATTTCCATAGCAGGGGATGAGCTGGAGTGCAGAGCAGACTCCAGCTTCAGCAATGTTTAGCTGGATGACTTGAGCAAAAGGAAGCCAGGTTCTGCTGAGCCAACAACTTACCTGCTGGTGGTAAGGCTTCCTGTGCTTTGAGTGCACTGTTTCCTTTAAGTGAGTTCTTCCCATTATCATCCCCTTCCTCTGCCCGGTTTTTCTCCACAGGCTCAGGGGGCAAAGCTGCAGTTCTGTTGTCTGGGCTCAGCTGCACCTCTGCTTCCCCTGCCAGCCCTTCCCTCTGCAAGGGTGAGCTTTTCCTTGGTGCCTTCAACTTCATTTTCTTTGTTTGTTTCAGACTGATTTGGGGTGGGGGCACTGCGGGACTTGAGGACTGTGCTGTGGTTTCTTCCTTGGCTGGGGCACTGCTGAGGTCCCTGGAGTCAGGGACAGGTTGTTGGGGTGATTTAGGGGCATTGTCACCAGACAGTGCAGGAATAGCAGCAGCACCATCTTCCTTTATATCCCCAGAACAATTTTTTGGTGCATCCTCCCCTTCTTTCCCTGTTTCTGGACCAACAGCTTCTCTAGACAGGGCAGAGGAGTCTGCTGGTCCACCCTCCACGTCCTGGGAAGGTTGTTCCTTACACAGCCCATCCAGACCCTCTGCTTTATCCACCAAGTCAGAGGTTTTACCCAAATCATCCCTGACACCAGGTTTCTCCAGCACATCCAAGACACCAGGTTTATCTAGAACACAGTCATTTGATTTATTTAGATCAGGCACGTTGTCTGCTTTCACTACAAGGTCCAAGTCCTCATCTGCAGTCATCTGCTTGGATTGATCCCAGTCAGGGGGCTGAAGAACTGAAACTTCCTGGGTAGAAGCTGTCTGGGAGCCCAGGAGATCTTCACCAAACTCCATGTCAGCAGGGAGATCACCAATGAGGGGTTTGTCAGGCAAGGACAGGGGGTCCAGAGATCCTGAAAATTCACTGGAATCCATTTAGAAGATGGCAACTGGAAATGAGAGAGAGACTTGCAAGTTAATGAAAAGCAGTCTAACACAGAACATGAACTGTGCACTCTTCTGAACACTGCTGGAGTAAACCTAGGCCCAGGAATGCTGCCAGGCCATAACCAGGACATCAGACACCAGCAGGTGAATCACCTCTGCTTGTGGGTACAAAGGGTACAAAAGTCAGCAACAGGATGCAGTAGTTTGGTATTACAGACCTTTGAGAACTCTACAGCCCTCACACATCTCACCACAGCACAGCAAAGTAACTTGCTTATGCTAAATGACACACTGGGGTATCAGAGCACCAATTCAGGAGGCTCCACACCAATGTTCTATGGTAATATCCCCAGCCCTGCCTTCTTCTCCATCCAAATAATCTGGTCTGTCCTCTCTCCTGATCTGTTCTTATGGAGCTAACACATTTTTAATTTTTAAAATACCTTTTTTCTCTTAAACATAGAGGTAGAAGCCTGACGTGTGAGTCTTTCAAGCCCTGAAGTGTGAGTCTTAACAAGACACAGGATGACAACAGGCATTAATCTTGTCAGAGGACAGATATGAACAATGTTACAGTATAACTACAGCCACTGCATAGCCCCAAAATTACATAGGCTAATATTCAGACATGGAACAACTGGAAAACTTAAGTTAGAACTAGGAGGAGTTCTGGAGGGTGACAAGAAGAAAGGTGGTAAAGCTCTGATGTTAAAAGCAGTCATAAGAAGAACAAGTAGCAAGATAGACACAAGCAGGCAATGCAGTCAGGAAAAAAGATCAGTGTGACTTTGCAGGGCACCAACAGTGACTTGAACAGGAAGGTGTGATGCAGACTGCCAACCTCAGAGGCAAAGTTACAGCCCAGCTCCTCATGGCTGACATCATCATAAGACAGAAAGGTCAACACTTAGAGATGAGGCAAGTAATATGGTCTAAAACTGAATTATACCCCCACAAGGAGATAATGGTTGACAAACCTGAAGAGGGAAAGAGAGAAAGAGCTGGAGTCTGCAAGTGAGAAGGCAGTGCAAGACTTGAAATAACATCATGTCCCCAAACAGGCTCTCAGTAGGCACTACAAAAAAGGCACTAGAATCAAATGATGTGGCAACAACCTAGCCCTTCCTATCAGAGTAATTCCAATTCTAAATTTAGCACTGTTTTAAGCCCTGAATGAAAAAAACATAGTACTTTTGTTTATTTGGGCTTACAGTGGGCATAACTCATCTCTATCAATGAAGCAGGAAGCCTGATTTAATTTCACTGATGATGGCTGTTTAACTCTTTTTTTCATATCCTTCCCTCTGAACGGACAAGCAAAATTTCACTCACAAATGGTTTGCTCAGAAATAAACAGAACATACTTGGACAGAGAAGGTACCCAGCCTCTAAAACTTAGACAAGCAGGAATTTAAGGGAATCATACCCAACAACTGGATTTCAAAGCCACCACCTCTTTATTTTATCTAAATACACAGTAATGTTTTCTGTTTCCTGGTGGTAGATAAAGCACTGTTCACACAATCCCAATCAGAAACTAAAGCAAATGTAATCTTTAGAAATACTTAGCAAGTTTCACACCCAAAGATTTTGGTGTTTCTGTTCACTTTTAGTTACAAGATGAGACAGAACTTTTAGAATAAGCCAATTCCAGAGCAATGCAGGATCTAATACATGTTTTAGGTTGGCTGACAAAAATAAGAAAAAAGTGAAATAGAAACAAAGATATCTGAAAGAAAGGTCGTAAGGGTTTGAAGATGAGAACCCTTCCAAGATGATAAACAAGATGCTGTTCAGAATATGAGCAATGTCTCCTGCTCAAAGACATTCCCCACCCAGTTTCACAAACAGCAGACCCTACAATAATAAGAAAAAAACCTCAAAGCATCCAGATGAAGAAGGAAAATTTATTTATAGGTATACTTAACAGAGCTAACATACCCCTCAGAATGACCTCAGACACTTTGCACACGTTTGCAATGAACCATTAAGGTCCTAAAGTAATTCCCACTTTCAGCTGCCTAGTCTTTGCTTGGTAGAAACAGACCCTGGAAACATTTGGAGCATAAGAAATCCATTTGGGCATTCCCTCCTAGAGCATAATGCAAGCAACCATCTACAAACTTGTCCTGTAACTCATGTTACAAGCGGACCAAAGGCATCTGGGTTAACAGTGTACACCTTAACCCTGCTTTCAAACTTCGGGTGACAAAATGCAAGACAAAACTCTGACTTAATGGTAACATTCTTGACCAACAGAAAAGTCTGAAAGAGAAGAAGCATTCTGCAGATTAAGGCAACTCCAAAGTATCAGGATGTGGCTGGAACAGACCTCTCTGCAGAGGCAAGGCTGCAGTAAGAGCACTGACTCACTCACATGCTCTGTTTGGAAGCACAGCCCTCAGTGCTCCAGGCCCTGTCCCCTCTCATCAGCTCTGTCTGAATCCTCCCAGCAGAACAGCTCACACATTCTGGAGAAGGAACTCAAACTTCTTAGGATGTGCAAAGCTAAGGACTGCTGCAGTCAGGCCAATGAAAGGGCCATGTGCTCGAATATGCAGATCCTATTCACACCAAGAATGGATACCTGGGGAGAGAGTGTAAGAAACACAACTAACAGGATGTTCCTCTTCAGCACATCCCCCAGTCAAGGACTCAGCTGCTGAAGAATCTCACTTGGCTTGAGCTGCACTGACAATGTCCCTGTTAAGAGTCTGTACTGGGCAAATCCTCTGTGAATCTGCCTAATCCCCCTTTGAACCAATTTACACTTTGGACTTCCTAAAATTCCAGTGGGTTTTAAGTCCTGCAGTTTAACATTCAGTTTTTAAAAGTATTTTCCTTTTGTTTATATTCAACCTGGTGCAGCAGAGCTCTGAGGTGATACAGGGCAGATGAATTCCAACTCTTGATATATTTAAAAGAATCTGGAAAAGCTGATGGAGTTAAGAGTTGAGGCTGGACCCAAGGTGATGCTGGCAGTGTGAGTGGGAAAGCACAGAATGTCCCTGACAATGAATTCTTTATAGTGGCTTTCAACTACCAGCTGATAAGAATGAGGAAGGAGGCTCTCAAAATAGGAAAGAATGGTATTTTCCAGTTCTGTGGGTTGCTCTGAAATCAAACTCACCCTGAAGAAATTAGAGCTGCTCTGCTGCAGCAAGGTAAGAAGCTCTACTTCTGTCTGCCCCAGGCAGACAGATTTGTCTGGGCCTTCTGTTGAGCTTCACAGTGAGTTAAGCTGCAAACAGAGCGTGCTCTTTATCTCTGGGAAAGTCTTTTCTCACTTTCCACAACAGAAACAGAATAGCTTATTGTTTCTGGCAGGTGCTGAAATGATCCACCACAAGTCATCACCTCTCTTATTCCAGTACCAGCTAATGCACAGCTCAGTCACTGGGGTTTGGTCACTGGTTTGCTCAAAATCTTCTTCTTTTGCAGCCACATAACTGGCAGCAAGGAGAGTACAGTGCAACAAACCAAGAGGAGGCAGTGTGCTGAAATCCTGCACCTAGCAGCACATAGAACTGCTCCATCTGGGAACTTCTCACCTAGGAGTAAGTATTACTCCCTGGAGTATCCAGTAAGAGATAGATGCTTGGGAAGTTGAAGGAGCAAAGTCCCCTGCACAGCAGCCTGCAGCAAAATGCTTCTCAGGCAGCAAGAATCATTTCCAAAGGAGTGATGGGACAGCTGGGGTCCTCCCCAGGAGTGCAGGCCTGGCACAGAACACGACAGTGACGGCCAAACCCACCTGTGACCACCAGACCTGCCAAAGAGGGGCACGTGGCATCTTCTCTCAGGTCTGGAAGCTCAAAGTGCAACATCTCTGCCAGGACACTTAAGCACATCCCAGGGACTACCTGGGACTTTATCTAGCTTATTAAAGACATCAGTGGTGCTGTAACTCAGGTAACCATTAGCAGGGGAATATGTGGCCTACCTACAGAAATGAGGATCTACCATCAAACATTTAATTAAAAACAGACAGCAAAAAAAAAATGCTGCTGTTACTCTCTCCTGATGAAGAGAACATCTCAGAAGTCTTTACAGCCCACAAAAAATCCCACAGCCATGCAGTTACTGCTGTCCTCTAGCAAAGGAAAATGAACTGCTTGAGTTGCTGTCCTGGACTTCTGTTCATGGATGTGTATTCGGATTTTCAATACTTTTGAAGGCTGAAGGCTTACCTTTTTCACTATTAGAGATAATTTGAAATATGAAAATAATTAACTAGTAACTACAAAAGACACTTAAATGAACATTTCAGCCACCTCCCATCTACAAGGTCTGTAAGATCTAAGCAAATCTCTGGAAGAAGCTTCTATTTTTTTGTGCCAAATTTTTGAACCAACAGCAACACTCCACCTAGTATTTCTCAACAAAAATAGTGTCAATACACAGTTCAATGAATAAAACATTAAGAAAGTAATATCATGTCCTACCAGCATGGTTTTAGTCAACATATCTTCATCAATAGTATTATACTTTGAGTGGTGAGTACAGCAGAAGCCAACTTCACTGCTGTGACTTATCTGAGTTTATCTGGACAGCTGACAGCATTCTAAATTCAAGCACTGCAAACCTTTATAACATATTGGCTAACTCACTTCAACACAAATGAATTTACAAACAATCACCAGTTAATTAAGCACACTACTGTGGACCATGTTCCAGTCCAGTCAAAATTCTCCAGAAAGGAGCAGAAAGTTTTTTGTTACTTACTTGTGTTTGTGGAGAGGCAGCTCTCTGAGCTGCAAACTAAAGAGCACAAAGCCCCCTTGGTGACATTCAGTACAGTGCTACTTGCACACAGAGCCACCTTAGACCATCACTGTCTCATTCTTGGCGACTGTCTACAATTGATCACAGTCATTGGAAGAGCTGAGATGTTTCAAATTAAAAATAAAAATCTGACACAGTAACACAAGAATCCCACTGCTTTATTAATCAGCCATGGTTTAAAGCACCCTCCAGTGCTAAACCTGTTTTGCTCCCTGAAAAGAAACAGGGAGATGTGACCCATCTCAAAAAAGTCCCAAAGTAAGAAGATCTACAGCAGACAGCTCCTTGGAGATTCAGAGATGCACTCAAGGATGCAAAAAGCTGGAAATCAAAGCCCAGAAACACGTGATTAAAGAACTGACCATGGGATCTGTAAACCCTCTGTGACTTGGAGGCTTTACATGCAGTGACTCACTCCAAGTCAGCCACAGCTCCTGCAGATGCCACTGGTCAAGTCCTTGTGCCTTTCAGGGAGGGTTTGGCAAACACTGTCCCAACTCCAAATGTATGATTGGCTCCCAGCAGTGCAAAGGGCAGCAGCTTTCACCACATCCCCTCCAGGCCAGTCTCCAGTGTGACTGGGACTCTCCACACAACAGTAACTGGCACACAGGGAAAAAAGGGCCTTTCCAGAATTTCACCAGCAGCACTGAGACTCCAGCAATTGTTTTTTGTTAATCCCAAAGCCAGGAAAGCAGATCACCACTAGATTTTCCTACAGCAGGAGCCCCAGCTCAGGGCTGCAGGCCTCAAATGAAGTATCACAGCCACCCTGAAGCCAGAAAATCCTCCAGCACTGAGCAGCTGGTGCTGCAACACACAGCCATGGGTCTCCTGTAAATTCCTCAAAGGCAGGAACGACCAAACTGGATTTTGAGTTTGCATTCCAGAAACTTCACCTCAGCTTCAACAAAGTGCAAGAAGGACAAATTTCAGAAATCTCACAGAATTGCCTGGTTTACCAGGAGACTCCCTGCAACATTTCAAATACAACTGACAACATTCCTCAATCTCAGCATTATCTAATGCTAACCATAGCAGTAAATGCTAGAACAGGCAACAGGAGCCTCCTCATCCATCCAGAATGCCATCCTGGCAGCAGTTTGAAATGCCTTGGATCCCCTCACACCTCCTAAGACCAGGATCTCCCAAAGCACTGAGTGTCAAGGCTTTGCAACAGAGAAAAGAGTAACAAATCCAAGTACACCCTCAGCAGCAATGCTGTATGGAGAGCAACTCAGCTTCAAGAACCAACTCCACTCAGCCATCAAGTCCAAGAGAAAGTTCTCCTGGTGTTTGTACAGCCAAAATAGTGTTAAATGCAGGGGAAAGGGGTGAGTGGGTAAAAAAGCTTTGGAAGTACTAGCAGAAGCTCAACAAAAAAGGCTTGGAGGTACAGCATGCTTGAGCAGTGTGTCCAAACTGCCTTAATGATATCAAGACAATTATTTAAAAAAAAATAGGAGACCTGGAAATGGTAAAAACTAGATGGTCATCAGGTCTGTCTACCTGTTGCCCAAATGCTGCAGGAGGGCATCAGAGTACCTGACAAAGTGTTCTGGCACATCCCACAAGCAGCTGGAGAGGACAGCTGCAGGGACAGCAGGTGACTCTCCAGAGGAGTGCTGCAGCCTGGGACAGGCCACAGACTGCCTGGAGGCCCTCAAAACACAACTGGACAAAGCCCTGAACAACAAGGCCTCAAGTCAGCTTTGCTGTGAGCAGATCAGAAGGACCAGACACTTCTAGAGATCCTTTACAACTCAAATCTGTCTGTAGTTCTCTGAATAAACCTTACTGCCCAGGAAAAGAGAGAAAACAAAAGGGCAGAGTCTCTGAGAGGATGTATCTTTGAAGGCAAAACATGAAATTTTCCTTGAGGCCCTGCAGAGTCAAAATACTGGAAACACAGTGAGAGCTGTCGCCTCTGCCTCACTAACAGTCCCAGATCCCTCTGCAAGGTGCTGGAAAGGGATCTCAGTGCTGGGAGGCCTCAGCTCCCATGCAGCTCTTCAGAGTGGCCCTGGTAAGGCTGTGCTGAGCAGAGCAATATCTCACCCCATCTGGGGACCAACACTCACCCCTTGGGCTGCCCAGGGCTGGGCCAGCAGAGCAGGCTCACAGCAAGGGGAGAGGAGACAGCACCAGAGCCCATGGCCAGCAGGGCTGGTGAGGATGGTCTCAGACACTGCCATTCCCTGACCTGTACCATCAGCAGAGAGGGAAGTTAATAAAACCCTACTGAGACTAAAATTCAATCAAACCCTTAGCACTGCCTTTGCTAAAGTAACAAATGCGTTGTCACAGCTGTAGCCTATTCCATGCTTCCATTGGATGGCTTTGACCACAACCCTTCTGCAGCAAGGCTTCTGCCAGCACATCTGTACATCCCAGCATCGCTGACCACAACACATCCACAGAGATACCATACAAGGGGCTTTGCCCCCAAAGTGAGGCCATGGGCACAGCCTGGGCCCTTCCTCTGGCTGCCACAGATGTGGGAGAATCTGGTGTTACTCACTGTCATCCTCCAAAGCAAGGGCACTCACAGGGAGAGGGATGTGAGCAGGTGCAGAGAGAAAAAGAGGTTGTGCAAATATGCACTATGGAGCTGTGAGGCTCAGGTTAGTCATTACAGCTCTGCAGGCTGTGGATATTCCTTTCATAAGGTTGAGCTCACAATAACAACAGGGCTATGCTCTTATCACCAGCTTTGATCCCAGGCTAGGCAGGGTTAGGTGAGAAAATGCAGATTAAAAGTTTTCTTGGGGATTGCAGCTGCAATGAAAAGGAAAGAAGCTACAGCCTAGAACAAAAGCCATACCTGGAAGCACAGCAGGAGCAGAGGAGAGCACAAATGAAGCAGCTCTCATGCTCATCAAAAGAGACTCCAGGAACCATCCCTCAGCACTCAGTTGAAAATCCTACCCCCCACCATCACCTGACACGTCCAGCACTGCCTCTGCCCACACAGCATTTCTGATGCCAGGGCCTTTTCCCATGCTGGGCACACAGCACAGCCAGCTCCCGGCCTCGCCAGGCCTGCCTCCACCTCTACCAACCACACAGGAGGTGCTTGATGCTCCCCAGGGCACCTTGCTGGCCACAGCCACCCTGCCCGCATGGGGAGGCTTCAGCAGAGCCCAGGGCAGCTCCAGCCCCTGGGGCCAGATCCTCGAGAGCAGCACAGGGTGCCCAGGGACACACACCCAGGGCCACACAGCCCCTCCAAGCCTTGAGGAGGCTGCAGACTCCCCCACACACAGGGAAGGCTGTCAGAGAGGTTATCCAGTTCACAGAGCAGCAGCTGTGAACCCCACAGACTTTGCTCCTGCGTGTGGTGACAGCACCATAAAGGCAGAGCCCCTGGGGACACGGGGAGAGCCGAGTGCCAGGGCAGAGCTGTGGGGCAGAGGCTGCCAGGGCTGTTTGCTGTCCCTGCTCAGCACAGCCCCTCAGCAAGGACAGGCCCCGCTGGGCTGAGCGCTCAGGGCCTGCGGGAGCCATGAACCCTGGGCCCAGCCTGTCCCCCATAAGGGCTGCCCCCCACACCTCCCCGTGCCAGCCCACACCGGGGATGGGCCAGGCTGGGGCTCCCCATCCACCGCAGGGGTACCCAGAGACCGCCTCCCACAACAGGGGCAGGGATCTCGCTGGGGTCTCCATGGAAGCAGGCTGGGAATCAGGGGCAGGCTGGTGGGTTCCCCAGCCACAGCGGGGGCACCCAGGGCCCAGATCCCTCCTCAAAAGGCAAAAGGGTGGCACGATCCCCCCACTGCAGGGGGCACGGGGTGAGCTTTGCACCAGGTCGGGGATGGGGCGCACATGGGGGCTCCCCATCCATTCCGGGGGACTCCAGAGACCACCCCGCTCCAGAGCGAGGGCCCACGGGGGTCTCCATGGAACCGAGGCGAGAATGGGGGCCAGGCAAGTGCATTCCCCAGCAATACCGGGAGGGGTGCAGAGACCACCGCCTCCCCCGCACTGCAGAGCAATTCGCATTGGGTTCTCCATTGGACCGGAGCTTGCAAGGGGTGGGGGTCAGGCTAGGGCTCCCCATCCATCCCGAGGGAGTCCACAGCCCAGATCCCCCATAAGGGGCGAGGGTCGCACAGCGCCCCCCCCTCCGGGACCCGCCGCAGGGCGCCCCCAAGCGGCGGCCCCGGGGAGGGGGCGAGCGGCGCCGGCCACGCCCCCTCGAGGGGCGCCGGCCACGCCCCCTCCCGCAAGGCGCGCACACCCCCCCCCCCCCCATCCCCAGGGGGCTCACCCACCCCCCCACTCTGGTACCCGCGCCGCACGCGCCCGCCCCGCCCCCTCTTCGCGGGGCCCCAAGACCGGCCCGTGGCCCCATCCGCACCTCCCGGGACACCGCCGGGGCACGCCCGCGGCCGCCACCGCTCGTACCTGGCTCTCCCGGTGCTGCGCCGCCCGCTCTACCCAGAACCCGGATTCGGGTCGCGGCCCCTTTAAATGGAGGCGCCGCTCGGAGCCCTCAACGCGCTGCCAGCCGACGGGGGGGCGGCGGCGGCGCCCTATTGGCTGTGCGGAGCGAGGGACGCGCTCTCATAGGCCGCGGTGGGGCCTGGGCTCGCGAGACTCGCTCACGAGCGGCTGCCGCGGAAACGCGGAGCGGAGCCCCGAGCTCGGGATCGGCGCGACAGCCCGGATCGCCACGGGCGGCTGGAAAACCTGGGGCGGATCCACCTGGCGGAGCGGGTCCCGGCGGGCGGGCAGCACGGAGCCGGGCGCGGGCAACAGCCGCGGTCTGGCGGGGCACGGCGGGGTGCGGGGGGGGAGCACGATGGGAGGCGCGGGCCAGAACGGGGCGCCCCGGTTCCCGCCGGTGCCCACGCGGCCACCTGCAAAGCGCGGAGCGGATCGCACGGAATGGGCTCGCCACCCCGCTCCCCGCCCCCCCCTTAACCCTCTCGCTGCCGCCTCTCCCGGCCCCAGCCCCGCTGTCGTCCCGGGGGGTCCGGTCCGGCCGCACCGCCACGGCCTCTACCTGCACGCGGGGGGACCCACCCGGCCGAGCCCGGGCGCCGCCACCGCCTCCCCGAAGCTGGAGCGTCTCCCCGGGGCGGTGAGTGACAGCGCGGTCGGGCGGGGCTTCCGCGGGGGCCAGGGACGCGGCACCGCCCCCGGGTGGGACCGCCCGGGCCGGCGCCCCCCATTCCCGGCACCGCCTCCCCCCGGGATCCCCCTCCCGTGCCCGGGCTGCGCTCCCGCACCACCGCGCAGAGCCCGGCGTGCCCTTCCACAGCCATGACAGCTCCCACCTGGCCTCGCCGCCCGCGGCTCCCCCTTCCCGCCTCCATCCGTGCCCCCCGCGCTGCTCTCCCCCACCGGGCTTGCCCCCCCCCCCCCGGAGGTCCCCTGCCGGTAGGACCGGGCCCCCTCCGGCTCAGCGGGGCAGCATCCAGCTCACGGCCGCCCCGCTCCACCGGGGGGCTCTCCCATCGCTCCCGCCCCCAGAAGCCTGCGGTTTCCCGGCCTGCGGGCACACGGGGGTGCCGGGGCTGAGCGTGGGCTGGGAGCCGGGGGCACAGCCGGGAGCGGGCGGCGGAGCTGCGGGAAAGCCGCGGGCGCTCCGCGAGGGCTGTGAGCCGCCCGGGGGTCCCGTGCCCGGGAGCGGGCTGGCCGCGGGCGCGCGGCACCTGCGCCGGTGAGGCGGCGGGGTTTATTGCAAGGCGGTGAAGTGAAACCCGCCCGAGGCACGACACGACTGCGCTCCCAGGGCGCCCGGTGCGCTCCCAGGGGCAGAAGCCGCCTTCCTCCGCACAGCGGGGCAGCGACGGGAACGGGCTCCGGGCGACGAGGGGCAGCCCGCGGCTGGAGGCGGCAAGGACCGGGCACGGGGATGGAGAACACCTAGAGGAGAGCGGATCGGCGCAGGCCGGCTCGCCGGGCTCCGGTGCTCACTGGCCGGGGTGGAGAAGCCAAGCCCGGACCCGCCCCGGTGCCGTCGGGGGGCGCGGCGGGGCGGCACGCGCTCGGCGCCGCCGCTGGCCCTTTAAAAGCGCGCGGCCCCCGCGCGCCCGCACCGCGCCTGCGCGCCGCGCGCGGGGCGGCTCGCGGCGCTCCCTTTGTCCCCCGCTCGCCTCTCACCCAAGCTTGATGCCCGCCGCCGTGATTGGCAGCGCGCGCTGCCGCTCCCTTGACCAATGGGGTCCGCGCACGGCCAGCTAGTCCCGCCCCGCTACGGCGGCCGCTGTGAGTGACGGCGGGCTTGGCCAGTTAGCGGCGCGGCGGCGGGCGCCAGGTGGCCAATAGGAGCTCAGGGAGAGGGGCGCCGTGTTAGGCTGCGCGAGTTCCGGCCGCGCGCTCTCCTCTCAGGGCCGCCGCGGTCCCGGTGCCCGTGTCCGTCCCGGTGTCCGTGGCCGGGGCCGGTGCCCGTCCCGGTGTCCGTGTCCCTGTCCGGTGTTGCCGCCAGGTGAGCTCGCGGGGGCGGTAGGGTCGCGGCTCGGCCCCGCTCCGTCGCCGCCGGGGCCCGGCGCGGCCTGCGCGGCCCGCCCCGCCCCTGCACGCGGGGCCGGCGGGAGCCAGCCGGGACCGAGCTCCGGGCCGCCTCCCGACCGTGCGCGTGTTGCTTTTAGGTGGGGAAGATGCAGGGCAACAAGGGCTTCAACATGGAGAAGCAGAACCACGCTCCGCGCAAGCAGCACCAGCAGCACCCGCCGCCGTCCATCCCCGCGAACGGGCAGCAGGCCAACAGCCAGAGTGAGTCCCGGGCCCGCCGCGGGGGCCCGCCCGGCCCCGCTCTGGGTAGGCGCTGAGCGACCGCTTCGGTGCAGCGGGAAACCTCGGGTTAGCTGCGGCCCTCGGGCGTGCAACAGGTCTCGGCAGGAACAAAAGGAACCCGGTTTTCCGAGTTTAAACAATAAATTCTTAGGTTCCCAAGGAGGCTGCAGCACCTCCTGCTAAATCAGTTTTTTCCCCTTGTTGGAAGCTGCGGTTTTAATCGCGCCTGGGTTGTATTTGTGCGTTTTCTTTTGGTTTTCTTATGTCCGCTCGTGGGTACGCGCGAGTCCTGTGGCGTTTGTTCGTAAGTTTTGTGTGTTCGTGAGTTTCTTGCGTTCCCAAAACCAGGGCAGGCGATATAGAGGTTCTGTCTTTGTCTGAAAATCCCAGGGAAAGATCGCTCACAGTTTGAAAGTCAGTGCGTTCTTGACAGTGTGTCTGTAAGCGTCGCGAATATAACGAGCTCTGTCTTTCATTGTCTGGTTCCTGTTTTTTCCCCGGGCATAACAGATGGCTTCTCAATACAGGTTTTCTTAGGAAGCTAGAAACTTAAGAAGCTTGATTGCTAGAGCAATTACTAGATTATACAGAAGTAAGAATCGGTGAAGATTATGTTGTAGTGAGAACGTTGTTGCAGCGATCTGCAGGCGCCTCTTCAGACTGATTTTTCTTTGTTTATAACGAGGAACCGGGAGATGCCCTGCTTTACTCAGTGTTTAATGCCATTTGACATTGCCGAAGCCGTTCTGCTCCAGCGGGTGTCCGGGTTTTCCTGGTCGGTGTGGAGTGTGCTCCGGAGCGGGAACAGAACGCGTTAATGGCTTCAGGGGTCTGAACCGATCTGACCTGATGGTTTAGAAGTGGCGAGACATCTCCGTTAGCATTTTTGGGGAGGGAGAGAGTGCTTTAGTTTTATTAGATGTGGATTTTATTAGTTTTTTTTAAAGTTTGGACACTTTGGCTGTTCAAAACAAAAATGTGTGGAATCACCTGTGTGCTTTGTGTGATTCCTCAGAGTGGGGGTTTTTTTGTGTCAAGGATACCGGGCTGGTAAAAATCCGACATGTTTTTGTTAAGTGGCAGAGTTGAACAGGCTCTTTATCAGTTCCCAGACAGTAACAGAGCAGAGTGGCAGAGCAGCCGGTTCCAGTCAGGTTGAAAACAATAACAGTGCAGCTGTACTGTGGAATTCCCTGGGGAATCAGCTTGGAGTGAGTGAGTGTGTCTCACTCCTTTGCATGGATCTCCTGAGGCAGAACAGAGGTACTCTGTGTACCCCTGAGTGTAACTCTGTGCAAGCACCTCGTGTTGTATCCACAGCCCTTCAAATTCATCCCCAAATACTCATGGAAATGCTGTGAACAAGGCAAAACATTTCACTCCTGCACCTTTGCTGTGTGAAGTAGATAACTTACTCCTACTGCTCTTCTCTGGGCACACTCAGTCTGGTTATTTAGTGTTGGCCATGGAGGTGTGCTTACTCCTATCAAAGATTTGTCCTTGCATTGTCTTTTCATGGAGAATCTTTCTCATTTATTGCCCTGTTTTGTAACTGCAATCAAGCCATTGATGTTCACAGTTTATTTCATATGTGTGACCGTGACTTGTGTCCTCCCCTGCAAAGCAAAGGAGTTGCTTTCTGTGCCCTGTAGTCCTGTGTGGTTAAGTTCCATGTGTGTTTAAGAAAATGGGGCACAGGGTGATAAAGTGATGCTAAATCCACCCCAGTGTCTGGCACAAACAAAACTTTCAGGCTCATGCTGGACTCTTGCTGAATTAAGGGTTAAAGATTGTATATGCCTGTGGGGATTTGAGAATGTTACTGTTTGTGTTTATTTCTGTTGGACAGCTCAGAAAATATTTTAACCTTGGACTTGATCTCAGAGGTCTTTTCCGACTTGAAAAATCCCTTCTAGCAGAACTTACTGAATAGGGATTTTTTTCTTGTAATTAATCTTGTAATTTTTCTGAGGGCTCATTTATATGGCAGGGTTTTTTTAAAATTTTGGGTTGGTGTTTTCCCCCACTATTTTAATTATTCCAGCCTTCTCTTCAGCTTGGAAACCCATACTCTGGAACCCATCTCACAGAATGACAGCTATCTTAAATGTTAACTGTTTGAACAAAATTTCCTCTTATTTTCATGTTTTTCGAGATATCTGGAGTTGGTTTTCTGTGTTTTTGAGTAAAAATCTGTTTTCTGGCTAAACTGTGGCTTTTCTATAATTATTTGTGTTGTAATAGCAAAATCCTGTGTTGTGACTGCAGTTGTTTTTTTTGTGGGCCAGTTACCTTGACCAGATCTCAAAAAGTTGGAGTGAAATATTTGATGTTATTTCAAGCTGCAGTGTGTTGTTTCCTCCAATTCACTGGTGTTAATGAGCACTGAGGTTCAGTTTTCTTTAAAAAAGCTATGGGGCCATTCTGAAATAAAACATCAAACTCCCTTTTTGCTGGAGAGATGGCTGGAGAGGTTTAAGACCAAAGTGAAGGGATGTGTTACCTGTATTATCCTGTGTCTCTGTGGTCACTGTGATGAAACCTAATAAAATTTATCCCCCCAACTGTAGAGCAGCTGTGTACCTTATTCCCCTCAGATGAAGGCCTGACCATTGACCTGAAGAATTTCCGGAAACCCGGTGAAAAGACCTTCACCCAAAGGAGCCGCCTCTTTGTGGGGAATCTGCCCCCTGATATTACAGAGGAAGAGATGAGAAAGTTGTTTGAGAAGTATGGCAAGGCAGGGGAAGTCTTCATACACAAGGACAAAGGCTTTGGTTTTATCAGGCTGGTGAGTGACTTGGCACTTCGGGGAGTTCTGTGGTGATGGCTCTCAATGGAGCACTGTTGCTAATTGAAAGTTGTGGATGTTCTGATGTCTTGCTGATTACACCTGCTGATGATCTCAGTAACCTCGAATATGGGATTAGCTTCCAAGTG